TACACCTGTAATTGCAGGTTTCCAACATTTTTATTTGTTTTGTTTGTCTGCTTTATTTATTTATTTTTTTTTGGTGCCATTTATAACAAATATCAATCTATTAGGAATAGAAGCCTAGGGTGAATAATAAGGCTTATGTAAAGGACTACCTTAATGTTAAGATACATAAGACAATCAAATTGTTTAGCTTTCATTTCGTTTGATGGTTTCTTTATTCCCCTTACAAATCATTTGCATTTCCTAAGGTTCCGTCCTGCTTTTACTGCGTCGAATTTGATCAAAAAAAGCTTCTCCATCAAACTTCCAACACTGCACTTACTTTATTGGCAACAACAACAACTAGCTTTATTTGCATGACCATAAATATGTACAGTGTTGCAAAAGCTTTTGTAAACTAAAGCCTAGCCACGCAAGCACAAACGCAAGCAATAGGGACGACCCAAGTGAAGACAAAGTTCGATGCAAACACAAGCACAAGCAAAATTATCCGAACCTTCTGCCATCAAGGAAAACTGCTTAGGCGCGAGGTAATCTGGATCCAGTGTTTTCTTGGCCAAACTTAACCACGTGTACATGGTAAATATCCTTGTGCTTGTCTTATTCCTTAGCTTATTTCGTTTTAACTTGTTGCAGCGCAAACGCAAGCATGTGCGCAAGCACAAGAAAAAGGAAAAATTTTGATCCTTGTGCTTGTGCTTGCGCTTGTGCTTATGCCTGCGTGAAGGCCGTTTTCACGGTGAAATAACAATCATTGTGGTCGCACTTGTGTTTGCGCTTGTGCTCGCGCTTGTGCTTGAGCTTGCGCTTGCGTTTGTGCTTGTGTCGTTAGTGAAAACCAGGCTTAAACCTAAAACAGCAATGATTATCGTGAAAATATAACAAAGTTACGATATAGCAATCAAGTTACATTGATTTAATTTGAAAGAAGAATATTACATAGATCAAAGAAAGATAAATGAATTTTGCTAATTCAGTATTAACATACTTGTTTGTAAAAGTCATAAGTTCGCCGATGGCTTGTAGCGAAGATAATTGTTTAAAAGTCGGAACGATATTTTCTATTTTTCTATAAAATCCATCTCTTAGAATAGAGTATTTAATGCAATTCAAAGGAACACGAGATTCATCTTCAATTTGGTTAGATTCACAAACATGGCAGAGGCTGTTAACCCTTGGAGCTTAATCAAATCTACCCGTCTCAATCCTTACTTTGTGATTAATATTGCCTATATTAAATTTAACTACTTCTTTTCTTTCTCTGAGACTCTTAGCCTTCCTGTTAGGCTTACATTATCTGCAGGGGATATAGTTAGGAATAACTGGAGTTACTCGAGCAGTTACAAATGCCTCTTACCTTGCAATCGAGTAGCATTACCCAGGCAGATGTCATGAGCAAGTCGCATGCCCTTCGATGGCAGATCTACCAAAGTTTGGATCATTCGCCTGAAAACGTAAATTAAATTAGAAAACAAATACCAGAAAAAATCCTTTAACATATGTGTTGTGTGTTTTTAGGGAACGAATAGAATGGTAATGTTACAGAGCTGACAGAAGACCGGGAAGACATTGATCTGCAAAATATCAAAGCATGATATTTTATGATAGCCGAGTTCAATTGTCATTTTATCATTCACAAAAACGAGGGGCGTTTGCTATTATTATTTTTATTTTATTTCTTTTTAATCTACTATTTAGATGAAGTACAAAAAGCGCGCCACTTTAATATCCGAAGCAACTCAAATGATACAAGGAGTAATGGCATGAGTAGGATATTTCTAGTAGGCAGCTATTTGTAGTTGAGTTCAAAAATTTGAAACAAGAAATGTAAGTGATAGAAACCGACGTTTCGGTGCATCTTGCGCCATTATCAAGGTTACATAATTAANCCGACGCCATTTTGAATGATGATGCATTAGATCTTCTAGACATTGAAGTGAGGTGGGAAGAGAATGACGATTGTCAACTTGTGGGAGAGTTTCATCTGGACAAGACATTCAGCGAAACCAGACAAATCGAGATTTTTTTAGGAGATTACGCTTGTGTCCGAGTGTCATGTTCCACGTCTCCTTCGAGTAGTTTGACACCTGAAGGAAAAGCTGTGGAAAGATATTGGGTTGGTCACTGTATCTTCACTGGTGCAGAAACATCTCTGAAATTCACCCTTAAGCTGTTCCAGCACTCAATGAGCATCCCTCAAGTTCTTCGAAGAGGGGGAACTCGGAGATGTATCGTGGAGATAATAAAGCAAACTATTCCTTCCAGGTAATTATAGCCCTTACATATAAATTCTCTCTTTGTTTGCTTTGTTTCAATTGTTGTTTCAATTTTTTTTTTTTTTTTTTTTAAATTCAGGTGGTAGAGCCTGATTAACACAAAATTAGTATAATTAGGTCTTTTGATTTACTTTCTGTAAGTCTGTTTAAGTTTTGACTTCTTATAAGAAACGATTTGGAAATACATGAAACAAGAAATATAAGTGATAGAAACTGACTTTTCGGTGCATCTTGCGCCATTATCAAGGTTACATAATTAAAGATAAAAAGGGGTTTGTGAAGAGACTAAGTTGAAGCGAATTTGCATAAGAGAGTGCCAAGCTAATTACATGAATACTTTAGCACGAAGAGAATCAGACTGTACATTCAGTGCTGGTTTAAGATCTTGAATACAACGCATTTCATTAACAAGGCAATCAAATTTGTTCGTGCATTTCTTGGTCACACTGAAGCGTGCTAAGAAATTGGTCGGAACAGCAGTGTTAT